TCGTTCTTAACATACGAAAGATTTTGTTAAAATCGAAGTTTTAATCCGCTGCACTAATTCACCCCCCCCTCTTAGTGCCGCTCCGATCCTAACAGTGTGGACTTCAAAAGGCTTACCATAGTATAATTTAAGTACTAGTTCTTCTAATAATAGTCTTTAGGTCTTGGAATGTCGCTTCACATTTGTTTGACCATCGCCAAGGCTACTCCTTCAGCAACTCCGTTAGTGGAGCTACGCGCTTCAAGTATCCAATAATGAAGCACCGATAATAGTTGACAAAACCAATAAAGGATCTTAGCTCCAATACCTTCTTTGGTATTTGCTACACCGCAAAGCCTGCACCTTCAATTTATCCATTTGAATGGATCCTCCATCGCAAGTCCACAAATAATTGCTCATTGAGTGTCGGACATATTAGCAAGTCCTCATATACCTTACATGTAAACTTGTGAATCTAATCAACACCCAACACTACCCAAAACCCTCATTTAGCCTTGTGCCACCCGGTGGGTTCTAGGGTGCTAAGATGGCTGACGCTTCGCACCGCACCATAACATGCACAAACAAGTCATGACACGCAAAAATTAGGCCATTATGGGACAATTTTACCCATTATGGTGAGTGGTCGCTTTGCAGCCCTGCAAATTATTTCTGCTCATATTTTTCAAGCAAAAACACAAAAAACAAGGCAAAACACATCGCCAAACATGTGTACAAGTAAACAAAAGCGACAAATAATCCGTTGATGAAGGTGTTGCAAGTGCACAACGACCGTCTGTGACTGAAGGGACAAATACCTTTACATGACTATATTATACTAATAATACTAATGGAGCAACAAAATCTTTCCTTGTATTTTTTTTTTCTATAGGACACTAGAAATTTTTAATATGATTGAGGATAAGAAAAGATCTAGGCTTGGCATCTCTTTGATCCACACTAGGAAACCCTTTAATCTCTTTATCATAGACAAAGATTATTGATCCAGGATATCAAATTGTACACAAAGACAGGATGTCAATCAACTCTTGCAGTTGCATGTAATGATCCTATTAAAAGAACAAGGACCTAAAGAAACTAATGGCCGAGAGTGTTATGTTGAAACCAAAACACTCCAGCATTATTTAACACTCATGCTTGTCCCAAAATCTCGATATATTTTTCTTTTAAAAGATTTATGAGTTTTATAGTCCGTTTCTTGTTGCAAAAACTGATACTGCAGTTGTAATTCGAGCTCCAGCAAAGTGTTGTATACAAGGAACTACAATTTATATGTACTAGCTGCCGGCTGGCATACATTTCTTAGTCTGAACACCATTTAACTCCCTTTCTTTTCTATTGGGAGGTATTGCCAGTTAAACCTGCAGGGAAAGGGAAAGTTGTCATGAAATTCACTGTAGTGATTAATGGCATAGCCTTCTCATGTCAGAAACTGGCTAGTAAAGATTGGTGTAGTTATGCTGTGTGCGCTTTTTTCTGTTGACTTCCCCTATACTGCATACTTTGTTGCTGTTGTCTTTCCTACCAACATCCTCTTTTAACACATAATGCAATCATCACTTCAAATCAGCTGACATAAAAATTCAGTTCTTCCTGTTTTAATTCAGAATTCTCTGTTGGTGGCACAAAAAAAGCATATTTGCTTTCAGGCTGAGAATAAGAATCTAGTCATCTTGTTCACTTCCATCTATAAAAATATCCATGAGAAGGATGCATTTACAATGACATATGGCATGGAAGGCATAACGGAAGCTCGTACTGAGATATTGCTTGCAACGATTAACTCCACATAATGTGTAACCTTAAGGCAGACGAAAATTTATGTAACACACTACATGACCCTTGAAGAGCCTATGATGCAACCAAATATAAGAAAATCTTTCACGAGCTAACATCGTCTTCCATAACTTTTTTTAAACCATAATCACAGCCAAAGACTTGTACAAGTCATAGACAATAATGCCTCCTTTTAGTGGCTGTCTCTGCAAGGAATCTTAAACTTTCATTAGTAATAATACAACACTTCTGCCCGTTGTATCTAATTTGTCATCTTACATGAAGATATAGAAAGTCTAAATGATTCCCAGAGCATTCTCATTCGATTATCTGCATAATCTAATGCATCAGGTGATATTTTGACTCTATGTGAGGTACAAGCAAAAACACAATGATATCAACTACTTTGTTGGCAAAATCAAGTGCCTCAGTATTGGGGACAAAACAGTGGTTCAGAGATTAAGCACAACTAGATGGAACAAACAATCAAGATGAGAACTGCATATACTTAGAACCAAAATGCTACCTTTAAGATACTAATTACATAGATTGGCTTAGACGCTTTACCTGACACTGCAACTGTGTCTTGACCACATCAAGAGGTGTGGTGACAGCCGCTGCCAAGGCACCTGCTGCAGCGCCAGCAGTGGCATGCACCACCAGACGCTCGTCAGTCGCACTCTCAGGCGAGATCTCCATCAGCGCCCTCTTTGCCGCCTCATAAGTTGCAAAATGCACCGCAGTGTAGGGGGCGTTCATGATCACGGTAGTCTTATACGACGCGTAGAACGCCCTGATCCCCTCCTCCGTCAGAACCCTGGAGACGCAATCCACGACCCCTTTGTACGGGCTACCCTTCAGCTGCAGCCGTTGCTTCACGGTGTCCATGGGAGTGAATACGGCGTCGCTTGCGATGGTAGCGAGAACCCCGGAGGCGGCGTGGACGGCCGGATTGTTGGGGTTCTCTCTGGACAGGGATTCCTTGGATAGCTCGTAGACGGAGAAGTAGACGGCGTGGGCGGGGCCGGCGCCAAGGCCCATGGCGCCGACGCCGCGGTAGAGACCGAGGGGACCCTCGGCGCTCACGACGGCGCGGAGTGTCTGGCGGAGGCCGACCAGCGGCTGGCAGGGGGGCGACCCCGCCTGCATCCGGGTCTTGAGTGTGTCAACGGGGAACATGGCGGTGTGCTCCACGAGACCGGCGACGGATCCGGCAACCATGAACTGCCAGAAGCGGAGGCCGTCGTGCTGCACGACGCCGAGGTCGCCGGCAGCAGGGAGGAGGTCCGACGAGCGGAACTTAGCGGGGGCGTCTGCGGCCATGGAGGGGAACGGGGGGGCAGACAAAGATCAAATTTTGGGGGCTAGGGTTGATTGAACGAGGAGGGAATCAAGATCAAAAGGGGTTAGCGTTCGGGTAGGAGGAATCGTCACATCGAATCTAAAGGGGAGGAAGGGAAGAGGTCTATGGGCGGCGCTGGCGCTGTCTTCGCCTCACTTGATGGAGATTTCGATTCGCTTTGGTTGTCCTCTCTCTCTCGATCGTATACGGTTTCCCTTTGAGTGTGTCGATTTTTCCTGTCTGTGCTATGGTTTCTCTTCCGCCGTGCGCTCCAAGTCGTCGGCGTCGTCTTCAATGGAAAGGGACAGCGAAACGGAGGAGAAAGGGGAAGTGCCCGTCAGTTGCCGTTTGATGCTCAACAAAACAAAGACAGCAGCCGTCTTTTCAGTGGTCAAACAGTTTGTATCCTGTCCGGCAAGAGACAGCCCGGACTCAAAGTCTCGCCTCCCCGACTCCTTCGGTCAGGTTCATATCTCTCGCATCTTACACCGTTCATCCTTCCTCTACTAACATCCTAACCGTCCATTCAGATCGGTGAGAACCAAAGGAGGTTAAGGCTCCTAGAAATGGACGGTTAAGATGTAAGGTTAGAAGCGATAGACGGTTGTGATGTGAGAGTTGAACTCCAGCCTTTCCGTGACAGCCAAAGAATAATAAATACAGTTGGTGTTGACAGCCGGAGTCAGACTTGTATTGAATGATTAATGGTAAGATAACGAGAGAAGATGTAGTTTTATAAGATGGCACAATTCAATTTCGTTTTGTCCATCCAAGTAAACAATTAATATATATATATATATATATATATAATCATAAAAATACAAATATCGATAATAGTAAATAGAAGAAGTAGAAAGTTCAAATCAAAATTGTACCGATATAATATAGTTACCAATGTTGAGACGCATATGATGAAAATTAACATATATAACCACAGGAACCATATCACATCAACACAAAATGATATAGTGGTGATTGCATACACTGTTCTCTAAGATCACCCTTGTTGAAGCTCTTGTCACCTTTTTTTTTGCATTTATATATTTTTTATATCAAATCTACACATTAAAATATGAGCATGTGTGATTATTCAAAAACTAATATTTTGTGTAAAATTTCTATTAAAGAAAGTACATAGATAACCCAAGACATTATATATGTCCCACAAAAATAATTTATTAAATATCAATGTATTATAAAAAAATGAATTACAAATTTGTGATTGCTAGGTAGAATCAGTAACAGATTTTGAAGAAGTATGTAAAAAAAGGTGAAAGTTAGATGAAAGAAACATTGGAATATTCCATTTTGAGTGATTTGGAAAATCATTATCTCAATGAAATGTTCTATACATATGTTGTTTCTGTATTTCTTTTTCTTCTTTTCGAATGATAAATATTTGTCATGCTGGAAATAATCTAACTCAACAACAGGAAAAATATACACATAGTATAACAAGCTTTGGTTAAATAATACTAAAATATACTAATATAAAAGTTTAACAAACAGTTAACTGACCATCATAATAAACTTCTAAAAGAAACTAATATAAACTAAAGTTCTAACATTCAATTAACTTATGGTAACTGAAATAGAATAATCATACATATTGCATATTAAAAATTTTAGATTCAGAAGGCATATATATATACACTAAACTTTAATTTAGATAAAGAAAACAAAATTCAATAATTTTTTGGCACATAATGCAAATTTGCCAAAATATTTCTTGTTTAATTGTCAATAAACAACACACCAAGAAGTCAGCCTCATGCCAAAGGAATGACCATTTGGTGGATGGATCACAAGTACTTAGCATCTGCCTGACCAGATAAAGGTGAAGAAAACAAACACTAATGAAAAGTCAGCAAGAATCGATAGTAACAACAAGAGAACACTTCATTTCACAAGATATTATTTCCACATCCATTAAAAAAAACTTAAGCTACATTAGCTCAAATGAAATCCAGTACAGTAGGCATGGAAAGAACTAAAAGTATTGAAACCAAGTAACCAAAGTAGACTTCTATGGCAAAAGACCATAGAAGAACTTACAGATTGGTCGTATATCATTGATTATTTGAGGATCATGGGGCAGCAATCTCCCACGGTTATTATGCCTCCTCAAATACTTCCTGCTCTTTGCTGCGTAAGTCAAACTCATTGGCGTGGAACTCTTTCAGCCTACAAGAAATTGATCTTTAGTTGACTGAAGTTTAATTACCAACCAACTCATTAAAGAAAGTTGATGAAGAACAAGTTACAAGTTAATGGTTAGAGAGATAAAAGAACTTGTTGCGGGAACTTCATTTGACCACTTGTAAACTCCTAATATATAAATGACTAAATAGTAATGGAAAAGACATGTACAATACTTCAACTCATGAAGATATTTGATGCTAAATGATAGACAGCTAAAGTTTTCGCAACACATCTACAGTAGTTTATGTAAGCCAATTGTAAGCCAAAAATGAAGCAGGCCAAATTGCAAATAAAATTGCACAAGTGACTACAATTTTCTAGTATAAATGGAAACATGCGACCAACGTTGTGGAACATTTAGATCAATGAGGCTGACAGAACAACATTCCCTTTCAGCTTGTAGTTACAGAAGTCCTCTGCTTGGATAACAAAAAAGATGACAAAATCTTTCCTAGTACTAGCTCCTGACTCCTTGGATGGTGGGTCCATAGGATACACAAACCATGTTTCTCATGACTCTCTTCACCTCTTACATGGCTGTCTCCCTCCTTTTCTCTGTCTAGCATCATGTTAAGATCAGTTTTCAGCGAGTTTGTTGAAATTTTATAAAACTGTATAAGAAAATATATTTGTAGATAAGTTAATCACCCATATATCTTTCAAAAACAGGAAATAGATAAGTTTTTTGGTTCTTTATTTCTTTTTTCTCTATTTTCTTTCTTAGTCTTTCTTTTCTTTTTCCCATATTTTTAACTTTTCCTTTTCCTTTTTCACCTTCCACTTTATTCTTCTTCATTTTTTTTCTTGTTCTTCTCTCTAATTTCCTTCTCTTCTGTGGTGATGGTGGGCCTAGGTGGGGCATCTATCAACACAGTCGAGCATTAACATTTTGAGATTCCTCCTTCTTCCACTTCTCCTCCTCTCCTATTTTCTATGTCAGCTTCCATTTATTCTCCTTTTTCGACAGTGGGCAAAGCACCAATAACAGTATGATCAAAGTGAGGACTCGCGATTGAGAGCATTAGAGACTAGAGAGGATGATCACAGAGGGAATTGGCCAGTCTGGTTTGCATGGTTCAACAAAAGGCAACGCAGATCACATCATCCTGTCTGGTTTCATTGCATATGCAATTGAAAACAAGTACTGAATTAGATAGTGGTCTGTTTCCCGGTTTTTCGTATGAAACAAGACCAGTTTGATACTGGTGGCCATGTTGGTGAATATTTGTAACTATTATCCACATGCCCAAAGGCAGTCAGTTGTTTCCAGACATAAGTTGACTCACATCACTTGACCATCCAAACCACTTCATCACCCATGCAATAATTACTTCATATAGGTCGAGTGAGATCTAAGGTAACAATTTACATTCACGAGTTTATCACACATGCACAAAAAACAATAGCAAGTAAAACTCCCAAAGTGAAGAATAGACCAGTCACAACTGTATCAAAAAATTCACAAGGACTTTTGATTACTATATGCATGGATACCCTTCTTTAAAGCATCATCCAAAGCTAACATTGCCCTTACATGGTAGTACAACAGCATGGCAAGATACTAGAACCCCTTTACTTCAAAGAAAGGGCATTTGCCCAAGGAACACTGTTAGCTTGCAAAGTCTCTCAAATACTGCTCCAGAATTGCAAATATTCCATATATTCCTCTAGAGTTTAAAGTCCATGCAAGTAACTCAATCATGATCAATATAGGAGTTAATTGTTGTCTCCAACATCCATTTATCAATCACTGTGTCCAAGATTAGTTTTTCTCTGAATAGTTGAAAAGTAAAACAAGATGTCAAAATGACAACATTTGTACAAGATTAATCACTCATTTTGCCCAATTGGCCTAGGTGGAAATAGTTGCAGAAAGTATGTATTTCGTCCACTGATGGTAATAAAATCGTGAAAGTCTATTGATCACAAGCCCTCGTGAAAAATTTATGCATTGGAGTGATCTGTATTTTAGAATGTAGAGAGGGTATAAACACTTGAAGATTATTAAATCGTATTGAGGTAGAATGAAGCTGGCAATTTAACCTAATCTGTTCTTGTACATGCATCAAAATCCCCCCCTTTTTTTTTCTGCATATCGCTCCCACAAATTAGTCCTCCAAGAGAGAACACAAATGCAGATAGACTGACAAATAAATGTACTAGAAAGGCAGATTATTGTACTTAACGCATGGAATCCTTACAGGCCTAGGACGAAGCTCGTGACCAGGCGGCCCTTATCGAGGCATTTCTCCGGGAACGTGTCCTTCTTGCACCTAATGAAGGCAACTTCCTCGGCCCGGCAGCGCACGGCGATGTGCTTGGCGGCCGACGTCGGGATCGCCGCCTATCACCGCCCAGTCGACCTCCGAACCCGGGGATGGAGCCGGTCCGAATCGTGGCTCTCGCCGCGGGTCAACTTCATTTGATCCCAAAAAAGATGTCTTCCATCTTGGATCATAGAAATAGATTGAAGGCCCTAATCACCGTTCATTTGCCCTTTTCCCAATACAAAAGTAGATATCACTTTATTTTGTCTCCAATTGGAATCAGAACTATTGGCATGACACACAAATTAATATTATTTAAAATCAAATTTTGGCTGAAAATTTTAATTATTTATCATGCAACAGTTACTTAAATTTTTTTTTTTTACATTTATAAATGAATTATTGATTCTTATATTCTCCATGCAAGCTACATCATATATATATATATATATATATATATATATATATATATATATATA